TGTTGCTTTTTCATGGATATACATATTAAATCAGTAGCGTAGTTTAGAATTATACACTGTGGCAAGTCACTCGTGTGTCTACTGTACAGTTTTACAACTAACTGGAGCATGCACATTTGAAAAATATTGTGATCAGGTTTTTCCAACCGATTTTAGGATAGTTTTTGAACTTTAAGTTAACTCAACTAACCACTATCGCATCCTGCAGGCTAGAAACTACTTTATTATCACAAAATAGCGTCAAAAAAGAGGATCTTTTTTGGCGCCATCCTAAAGCTGCCCTTTACTTTTATGAATCGCATATTAGCGAAAGCTTTACTTACTTTCGTAAATTTTACGCGAACGTAATTCACTCTTTATTTAATGAAAGACGTATAAGAATAAAAAAATCAAAAAAATGGATACATTAAAAACACTTAGATATTTGTGAAGTTATGTTTGGAAAATATTTTAAATTTCTTAGACACATATTGATCTTCCTTCTCACCGGCTTTAGAACAAAAAAAATGTTAGTTCTCTTAATTAAATACTTCGATAAATAAATAGAAAAGTCAAAAGACCAAATGGTTTTAAAAATGAGAGAAACCATATGAGACTTATAGTAAAATGAATACAATCTTCCCTTAAGATGAAGGTATGTGGCAAATGAAAGCCCAAAATTAGTGACTTATTTTCGGCATACTCACCAATGCTGTTAATTTTATATATAAAAAGCTTAAGTGTTTGATGATACTTTCTTGTCTTCCTTTCCAGTCCAGGACACCTACTTCTATCGTCACTCTAAACCTTTTCTAACGATCTTTTCCCCAGTCTTCCTATGGGCTTAATATTAAGATCATCTTTGCTATTCTGTCCGCCCTCATTCTTTGGTTATGCTTCAGCCACCTCATTCTGTGTGCCTTAATACGTATGATAATTTTAGGTTCCTTGTACTGCTCATTTTCTTATTTGGTCTTTCTTCTCCATCATTTCCCTCTCTTAATCCTTCCCAAAAATTCGTACAAATTTATGTTCCTATTCTAGTCGTTCCTCCTTACCTTTGTTGGGCACCTATATCTCGAATGAATCTGTAGTCAGGCTTGCGTTTAGCTCATTCTTCTCATCGTCATTATCTTATCTTCTCAATATCACTACCAAATAAGTGAACACAAATTCAGTAAACTTATGATCTGTTTTATCTTATCATTTTATTCTCTTTTATCTTGACTTCTTCCCATAATAAAGTATTGTTATTCTTTAATATTAATTTCCAATCCATACTATCTTACTCCTCTTTGCAATTTTTTACATACCGTCTTAAGTCAGTAGCGTTAAGTCATCTGTAAAACATAGACATTGGTGCTGCTTACTGAAAATTCAATTATTCTTTCTAAATAATTCGTTCTAATTTTGGTTGTAAATAAGGTTAAAAATTCATATCTATTTCGTATTTCACGAAGATAATAGTAAAATAGTAACGATACAAAGTTTATTTTGCACATTTGCTAAACTTATCTAAAAACAAAAATCCTAAAACGACATGAAACAAACAAATAAAATAAATAAACTAAAATATGTAGAATACTGTGAACTAGCGAGTATTTTAATAACAACAATTCTTATTGAATACGAAGTACACAACAGATTGTTATACAAACACCAAGATGCTCTGACAATTTTAGCTCAATCCGTTTACAATAAATATGAAAATATCTTTTGAGTAGGATAACGTAATTAATCTAAAGAATCTAAATTACATTATTGGGCTGAATGAGAATATCGGCAGTCCTACTTATTTTAACGCATACATAGAATCCCACAAAAATTGCAAAATCTATATACCTACGTCATTTTATATACTTAATTTCCTAGAGGCGTCACAAAAACTAAACTGGCCTGGTCAACTAGAAAGAATGCCAGATAATCGAGCTGTAAAAGTAGTCCAGAGATGGAAGCCCCAAGGAAACAGAACAAGCGGAAGGCCCCGTAATAGATGGATAGACGAAGTAGGCATCTTAAAACCATGAATTTCAGGCAGTGGCGAAGGTAATTATCCGACAGGGCAAAATGGAAGAACCTTGTTAAGCAAGCCAAGACTCACAAAGGGTTGTAGCGCCATTAGAAGAAGAAGAACAAGAACAAGAAAAAGAAGAAGAACTTCCTAGAGGCACTTAACATTACTTTATTTCAAATATTATCGGCACATCTTCATTTTTGGAAGTAATATTATATACTTTCATTTTAGGACTAGACTCAATCCTAAGTCCCCATAACACTATTCAGTCTTGACGTGGTGAATGGACTTCAGCCAAGCAGATTGCCGTAAGAGAAGCTGCCAAAAAGTTGCCACGAGAGAAGCAACACGTAAAGCAAAGGAGTATTGTGTTCTCGGACGCGACTAGTTCACGTTCGAGACGCATCGCCCCGCCCCTTATTTTTCACGTTGGCCCCTCCCTGACCTGGAAATCCCTAATCGCTACTTCAGAAAGTATAAAAATAGGCGATTTTCAGGTCAATAAGTCAGTCCTTCACGGGCTCTCCGAGAGCTTAGAGCTCTCGGGGCTCTGCTTTCTTGTTTTTAGATTTTCCCATACTCTGTGGCTGAGATGTTATTCTACTGCAACCTGGTATTTTTATTTCGACTTAACCTTTGTCATGTAAGAAATATCTTGCCTTTTTCAAGGCAAGATACCAGAAGAAAACATTTTCGAGTCCATACCTTGAAAATGGACTTAGTAGAGGAGCTATCGTTGATGTTTTCGAAGCCCTCTACAGAGCACACGGTGGTACAGAAGGTGCTTAGACCCTTATTAATTACCCCGCGGTGACAATTGCACCGTATTCAAATCTAAAAAGCATTTGCATTTCTAAAAATATCTGTGTCATGGAAGTATGTACCAGACCGAGGTTACTTTCATATTTGGCCTGATATCTATGTTGGAAGCTTTGTATGTACGGACTCTTTATTTCCCCACACTCGTAGGACCAGAATGGACTAAATCAATAAAAAATTTAAAAACATGAAACTCTAAGAACAACTAAAAAAATATCAAAACTACTTGAAAAAAGGATGTCCAGCATACTAAGGAAGAGTCATCAGTACCAAAAAATAATGATGCAATACAAGCTGCAAAGCGTTCTTAAAAAAACAATAGAGTGGAAAATTCTTACGACTGAATAATTCTTTAAATCCAAAAATTAAGCTGGAATACCTACCAGATATTACAAGTGGGGATCTAAAGGTGATATTAGCCCGCCTTGGTCAACAAAATAAAAACTCAGGGGGGAGCACTGTGCAGTCCTATTCCTCCATCTGTCCAAGAGGACTACATGTGAGTTTCCGAGTCTACAAGTTCAAAGTAGAATTAAACACCCTGCATAAAACTATGTTACCAATTCCATCGATTTAGTGTTATGCACTGACACTGAAAGAAATCTACGCAGGGTGCGGGCACAATCATTAAAGGCTAGGATGGATGAAATATCGCAGAAGGCAATAAGCTGGACATATAAGAGATTAGAGGACTAAAGTTTGGAAGATTGAAGCTAATTAGGGCAAACTAGATATTAAAATAAGAAACTAGATCTTTTGTAGATTTGACTCGGGTAGCCAGTCCAAAACATTCCCCTAAAAAACTCCCCACAACAAACTTACTGACTTGTATTTAGAGCACAGGATTTCTTGTTGGAGTTTAATGAGAGAAATTGGTTTGATTGATATAAAGGTCCTACGATAATCGTCTCGTCTGGGTAGGGGAAGAAATAGTGGAATTGTGTAATACGATTTTTTTTTAATTTGCTTAAATAAGTTGTTCATGTAGACATTTGTTCGACGAATAAATTATTATAAAAATAATATCGTAAGGCGTTTTTGCCAGATGGTGCTTCGCGCGAATTACATCTTGAAAATCCCCGAAATACGGTGACAGCTCGTATAATTTTTTAAAATTGAAAATTTCGTTGTCGGTGCCGAGACTCGAACTCATGGTAATGGGAATGTCTTATCTGTAACTTTTGTATACTTAAAAAATGGAATTCCTGCTCATAAATTAGTTTATATGGGGTGAGTACATTTTGATACACTTTCATGCTTGTAATTGGTAATTTTTTATATCTTATGAATATTCTTTTTGACTTCGTTTTTTTTTTATAAACTCCAAGTCATATGTCTATTCAAGTTTAGAAATCGTATACGCATGTAGGATCTTTATTTAATTTAACTAATTTGGTAACTTTAATTTCGTTTAATAATTATTATATTCATTTAATCTCTGCCATTTGCTATATTTTTTAGATATTTGTTACTCTTTTATGTCACGAAAATATTTAAAGTTATACTCTCGCTAACACAAGATTTCTCATTTTAGTTTTTTTGGCCTTCAATTTTTCTTATTCCTCCTTGTTGGATTTCATGGTGCACCACAGATAGGATAAAAACTACAACTACAACCATGCAAAACTCAATAGCTGCCTGAAATTACAACGAGTTCGATCCCCGGCATCTCCATCAACGTACAATCCACTAATTCAGCTAAAGTCCATCCAACCAGCATCTCAAGCCATCAACAAGTTATCCTATAAACTGCATGCAGCCATGAGTATCAATTTAAAGCTATTTCTAAAGCTTTAGGCAGGATTTGCTTTGTTGTTATTAAAATTTCATTTTATTTATTTTTAAATGAAAAATAAATATGATTAGTTTATATCCTGTTTTATTTGGCTCCACATTGGCTCCCAACTTTCCGAGGGTAGTTATATTTTTGTTAAGTCCTTTTTTAAGAGGAAAACTTTGTGTACAGTTGATAGAAATGGGATAGTAGAACTGCCGATTATGTGTAAATTAAAAAAATTGCTTTTTGTAAAAGAACAATAGTAACTAGTATCTATATAAAATACTGAAATTGATACAATTCCATATTACAAGTTCCTGCCTCGTCGAAATGTTTCGGTAGATTTTTGATCAAATATGTACAAAATATAAGTGACACTTATAGTATAAAAAATGAGTAAAATGAGAAAACACAACTGATACATGAATATTTGAAATAATGAAATACAAATGAAACTACAATACTGTTTTGTACCTTAATAGTAAAAACTACACTACTTAGAGAAAATATATTCAGGAAAAGATAAAAAAACAAATATATTTTGTCGTAACAAGTTAAAATGCGGAAAACTTAACTCAGTTTATTGTTTTCATGAAGATTTAATGACCTGGTCTTTTTATGTAATAGCTCCCATACACTTAAATAAAATTGCACAGCTGGGGCTTGCTGTACAAACATTAATGTAATGCATATGATGACCATTTGCATAGCAGTTTGTTGGTGGAACGGTGACGTAAGTTTACGTAATTTGATCGCAGCTGTAAGGGGCCCATTAATAGATACAATATCTGAGCGTTTTATTGAAAACTGTGTAACAAGTATTACCTGTTAAATTTTTATCATAACTATTACTGTTTGTACTAATTAAAAGGTATTTCACCTAATAAGAATATAGTTCAATATTGTTGTAATAACTTTTTAAGTAGCAGTATTATGGACCACTAGGTCTTGTTTTGATACCGTAATGTCTAATGTGGTAAAATACTCGTATGGCAATAGAACTTTTTTTCGTGAACGTGTTTCGCACCTAAATAACTGGTTGGTTGTTGGTCTTTACTTTTGGCATTCTAAACCAATTATTATACAAGGAAAATCTTCAAAATCTGATATTTTAGTCACATTCTGAGAATTAGAAATCATGTTAACGCGTTTTGTATCAATTTAAACAGGTTATATTACAAAAGTATTAAATAAAATTAATTTCATAACAATGACATAGTCAAAAAGACAATTGTCCTCATTCTTGTAATACTTATGTCCAAACCAGAATTTAATATGTATTTGACTAATGTACCTTGCTGAATTATGTGAAATAAATGTAAAATTTTAACATCTTGATTTAATATTTCCTGAATATATTTTCGTCTTGATTCTAACAAAATTTTAAATATTCGAGATACTGAAAAGTTAAGGGATTACTTCTTGATGCGTCGAATCAGTTTTCGGAACGATGCTGTCCATTTTGTTCTTGTAAGCTTAGCACAATCCGATTCGTCTAGGACAGCATTTGGGCAAAATTTGTGTTCTTTGGGGGTTGTGGTGTTGCTTTTATAATCGGCGCATATATCGGAAGAAAAACCGGAGTCACTGCCAAATCCTAAAACAAAAAAAAATAATAAATCACAAATAAAAACAACATGTTGGCCCATAAGGGCAAAGTTACTATGTATACACGCGTCAAACATATCAGGTATACTATACTGGAATATCACTACCGTTACGGCATAAAAGTAGGTGTTACCTTGAAGCCGCGCTAATATATGTATGTATTAAATCAAAAATTTTAATGTACAATATATAATTTAAAAGAAATAAAATTAATAAAGTTTTTATATGATTTATTTTATTTAGTAAGTCTAAAGGTATAAAAACCAGTGTGTGGTTCTTTGCCTGATTTCCCCATAGGACGGCTCCCCATGTAGCGAATAGGAGAATCTCTCCCAGATATGGGCGTTGCCTAGGAAATGAAATACTCGGGGATAACACAAATCTAGAGATAAAATGGATCAGAATGATTGTGAAACACACAAGTGGCTCAACAGTGATAACTACAAAACTGGCGTTTTTACAGCGGTGCCGAGAGTAATGGGAAACTACTGCACTTCTTCATGTACCACGTCCTTTCAGAACGTTGGTTACTATCATAACTATCTTAATTTTATTCACTGCCACCCTAAATAGCATGCTTGTATCAAAAAACATACCAATCTCGCATGTTCTTCAACCATGACGTTCTTCTTCGTCCTGGACTGCATTTGCCTGCTATTTTTCCTTGCATGTGTTACGACTTTAAATGTTATGGCATATAGAACTGTAAATATTTTATGACTAATTCTTTTTTATTGATTCTCGTAATTTGTAGGTCAAAATATACCTGAGCTTCGCTACCAGTTGTTTACAGAAATCTCTAGACACTAATTTTAGTGAGTCATCCACGTCTCGAGGTTGAAAAACGAGTCGAGCGCCTTCACCAAAATACGAGATTATTCAGGAAGTTTGCCGAAAGTTCCAGATGACAACAGTTGTGTATATAAATGAAAGATTTTTGTATTTGAGTCAGTCATAAGAAGATCGGTAAACGCGGTTTACTTGTAACGAAACTTGAAATAAATACATTTGTAAAGTTATTTAATAAATTAGTAATTAGCTATCGTGAGTTTTAATAAATTAGATTATAGACAATAAATTAGAATAAAGACAAATAAATTAGAGCAATAAAAAGACGTCACACATGATATTTTGTAGCAACCTATATTTGGGCCCTCTCATTACATGTCCGAAATACTCCAGCTTTCTCTGCTTGATGCTTTTTATGATCTCAGTAGTCTTGCTGAGATGTTCTAGTATTGTGGAGTTTTAAACTTTTAAAATTCTTCTATAGCACCACATTTCGAAAGCCTCAAGGCGATTTATATCGATTTTAATCACACTCGACACAATAAAGTAAGACCGAGAACACGTAGCAGCGAAGTAGGCGGATCCTCAATGCCAATTTTATCTCTCTGTTACATAACACCTTGGACATCCTTCTTAAAGCAGCTCTAGCCTGCTCTATCCTAGATCTAATTTCGCCGTGACTTTCTGCGTTACAATTTAATTGCTATCCAAGGTAAACTACTGCACTATGTCTCCCTAAAACAAACAGTCACGACAAGGACAAACATGGGGGCTCCCAGTCCGCGGTAGATCTTGGATGGTCAGGGGGTGCTAAGAAAAAGCTGCGAGGAGAAAATACCCGAATGTGGAAAATTCAAACCAAAAAGCAGATATACGCAAAGGTACGTGGAATACCTGTAGCCTACAAACGGCAGGGAAGCTAGCGATCAACAAAATGAAGAGAACCTAGTACCGAACGCGTAGACTTTACACTTGAAAGTCCCCACGACATAGAGAATTAAATATCGTCAGAAACCAAAAAGATTTTATACTTATCCGAGAGATTATAGAAACGGAAGACATATTCCAGGGTACTGACGTTGGCTCGGACCACAATCCTAACTTCATCAGATTTTGAATCAGTTTATATTGATTAAAGGCAAATTATGATTAGAGTCCATCAGTCTAAAATTATTTAAAAATGCAGAACCTAAAAAAATGGAAACGAAATAATAAGACATTGAACGACTTCAAGAAAGATACACATTTAATGCCCATAAACAATATTAAGAAATAATAATACCTTGATAATTACATGTGCGGAAGACAAACTGATGATATGCAAAGAATATATTCAGATACTTTTCGATGACGATAGATCTTGTGTTCCACCATCTGTAGATGATCGAATAAATAAAAATAGTCCAGAAATAACCAAAGAAGAAGTTATTGATTTAGTAAAAGCTCAGAAAAACAGGAAAGCCGCCTAGACAATCTCAATTTCAAAGTATCTAAATTAATTTGAGACGAAGTTAAAAGTCTAGACATCATGTGCCCCAAACCAACATTCTCAACATTACCAAAAAACTCAATTCCTGACATTAAGTGCGACGACTACCGAAAATTAAACTTGTCTTACGTCCTTCTCACGAATTAGACATACACGAATTTACAAGAAGTGTGAAGTGTGAGTTTAAGATGAGTGACACTCACTTTTGCCTGTTGTGTTTATTGCAACACAACGATGCGAAGGCATCAATGTACATGTACATGCATGTTTTACAGTATATAGAAAAACATTTGACGAAAAAGACTTGAGAATTATCTCAAAATTATACTGGCACCAAACGACAATAATCGAAATAGAGCACACACCATCCGAAGATGCACAAATCATCCAAAAGGAAAATTAAATTCAGTAGTTGGCTGTATATCATATATCACAAAAGTTTTATTTAACAATTCTTCATTAAAGGTATATAATTAAAAAATTCTTCTGGGCTACATCACAACAGAATGTTTTCGGACTTACTAGTCCATCATCAGTACATTTACCAGGTGTATATGAGAGAAGCCGCTAAATATGTGGGCCAAAACCCTTCAAATAGTGCAAAAATTGTTATTTATTACAGCTTTGTTAAAAACTTGGTGTGATGTTAAGTTATTAAAAGTACCCTGCAGGGTAACGTAAGACTCCCAATAGGGTTGCTGAGCCGAGACGACCAATCACGTAGATTCTTTAACTATGAGTTCTACCTTCGTCTAACAGATCTTCCCTGAATCGGTCCCTGTATTATGAGTCTCAAAATTTCATATTTTGGTCCACTCATCACGTGGCCTAGGTATTCCAGTTTTCTGGTTTTTATAGTGGTGATTAGTTCTGTTTCTTTACCAACCCTCTCGAGTACTTCTTTATTTGTAATTCAGTAAATGATATTTTCAATACTCTGCGGTATAACCAGAGTTCGAAAGCCTCGATTCTTTTTAAATTACATTTTTTTAATGTTCAAGTCTCAGCTCCATATAATAATATTGAAAATATATAACAGTGAATGGTACGTAGTCTGATCTCCAAATTTAGATTTTTGCGCGTTAGGAGTGGCTTTATTCATATAAATGCTGATCTGGAAATCTCTATTCGTCTGTTTATTTCTACAGTATGATCATTGGAGGGATCCCCAACAACAAATAAAATGCCGCACCGAACAAGCAAAATAAACTTTTATTAAATTTAGGTCATTACTATGTAATCGCAACATTTCCTTTAATCTTCACTAGAGGATGCTTAAATGCTATAAGTATATGGTCCATATCGTTATAAGACATGAAGGATGTGGACGTTAAAAATACCCTCAATTAACAAGTTGAAGGCCTTTCAAATATCGACCTTGCGAATAATATTTCTCATACCTTGGATAGATAGGGTGAAAAACGAGTCTTAAAAATGGCAAACACTGAAAGAGAGTTATTCAACTTGATGAAACTCCGAAAAATTGGATACCTGGGCCATATCCTGAGAGAGAAAAAAATACGCAATCAAGGAAAAATTGAGGGCAGAAGAGGATTAGGTCGCAGACCAATGTCGTGGCTTCAGAATATAAAGAACTGTATATGCATAAATATCACTGACGAGTCTGCAAAAGACAGACTCTGACCTTAAGATAATTCGCCAACGCACTATAAGTGGACGGCACTATAAAAAAGAAAATATATTTCCGTTGATTTATTGTTCTTAATTTCTTTAAAGCGAACTTTAGGCCTTAGTTATTTTTAATAGGAAATTTATTGATGAGATATATTTTAGAGACAGAGGTTTATTGATTTAAATTATTGAGGCTGCGTTTCATAGATTTATTTCTCAAATAATTGTAAGAATCCAAATTATTCAGTTTTCATCATAATTTCATTTAATTGTGTTTTCATTTCATTAACTGTACTCGTATTAAGATAATTCGCAAATCTGATTAGGAGTTTATAAATTGAAAACAAAATTATAAAATGATGTATATCTCTTGCTTTTATCCACTCTACTTTTATAAATTATAGGTCTGGTATTTTCCAACATACTGAGAAATTCTGATTTGAGATTTATATTCCTCCTACTTCGACTATCCGCCACTGATTACCTTACATCTTCGACTAATAAAAAAACTTAATTCGTGCCGTAATACATAGTATTTTATCTCTAAAATTACTTCACATTTTTAAGATATAGCATGCATGCATTTGTTAATAATTTATCCCAAGTGTCTAATCTGACAATTAGAACACGGAAGAAACTATTTTTGACTAAATTCTCATTAATAGGGCCATTTGAAATTGTATTAAATACAAGAGATAAATAAATGGAATTTCCTATTTTCAATCTCTTCATATTAGAGTATTTGATGTTCGTACATATGGCACATCTGTCTAACGTTACTTGTATACTTTTAATCAGGAGTTATTCTTGAATTAACTAATGCATTTCCGGGTATGTATATGCTGTGTACAAAAGCGAAATGAAAAAGAATCTTTAATTAAATTATATAAATATACTATTGAAAAGCAAAGAAAAAAGTTTAATATATACATTTGTTTTCATTTCATATGTCATATGATTTTAGAAATGTATGAATTACCATTATATGCTTTATGAGCACTTTGCTATGGTAAGTAATGACAACAGTTTCACCATACATTAAAAATATTTAACACACTATTTTGTCCACTTTTTGCAGTAAAATATAAATTAGATAAATTTACATTTTCCACACGCAAAAAATGTTAATTGCAATTCCCATTTTTTAAATTATTCGCAACTATTTGGCAACAAACTTTGAAAATTAAATAATGTATCTAGTTAACATGAATCAAACTTTTTTACTGTTTTCGAGTTCTTCCTCCAACAGTGTTTCTGTAATTTTGCACATTAGTATGCGTAGATTATTCCTAGACAAGGCGAAAACTTCGGGTTCGTTTGTAAAAATATGCCCATGAGATTTTTTTGTACAATGACTTTCAAAAGATACCCCAAAATAAGATTCAAGAGATCGCCGAAGCGAAAAGTTGTTCAAATTTTTTTAAACATATTGTAACAATCAATTTTTTCGGTCTGGACAAATTTCTTTTTTAATTTTTTGACTACTCTGAATAAAACAGGTCTCTTGTAATTTTTCTGTAAATTTGATCGTTTAAAGTATTTTGGGCTTATTTAATTTTAAAACATTGTTTTTTATTCGTTAATGAAGCGCTTATGACAGGACGGACACTCGGGCTGTAGTGTGTATAAGAGAGAGAAACAAGATCTATGACACCAATTTTTGCTGGTTTGAATTCTCTTTGTATAAATGAGCGCCCGCCCTGTCATATTATTTTATTTTATAACATCGTTTTTAAGTGTTAATGAAAAAAACGCAAAATAACGATTTTCGAGGCTCAAGAACACAAGTAAAAAAATATTATCTTTAAATTCAAGTTCAAGAATTCCTTTATCAGCTCACAATGAAAATTCTGGGCTTATTTTATTTTAAATCATCAATCAGCCAATCGCGTCCACTGCTGGACATAGGCCTCCCTCAGTTCTTTCCAGTGTTCTCTACACTGGGCCGCTTGTAGCCAGTTTCCCGCTACACGTTTTATACCATCGGTCCATCTAGTCGGTGGTCATCCTCGGCTTCTTTTATAGTTTCTGGGCCACATTCCATAATACGTCTTGTCCGTAATACGTAATATATACGTAATTTATACGTAATTATTTAAAATAATACAAGACGTATTATTTTAAATAATTGTTTTTAATTGTTAATGAAACACGCATGGCAGGGCGGGCGCTGATTTGTACAATAGGAATTCAAACCAGCAAAAATTTGTGCCATAGATCTTGTTTCTCTCTCTTATACACGCCGCAGCCCGAGCGCCCGTCCTGTCATAAGTGCTTCATTAACGATTAAAGACAGTATTTTAAAATTTAATAAGTCCAAAATATCGAAAAATGATAAAATAAAGTTTGAGCTTGAATTTAGTTCCTTGGTGAATTTAAAAATAATAATTTTAGTTGTGTTTTTGAGTCTTGAAAATCGTAGTTTTGCGTTTTTTTTTCAGTTTTAAATTGTTTATAACTCGAAAATGATCAAGTTTGCAGAAAAATTACAAGAGACCTATTTTGTTCAAAATGACCCAAAAAAATTGTGCGGACCTAAAAAATTGGTTGTTACAATTTGTTTAAAAAAATTTGAACAACTTTTCGCTTGGGCGACCTCTTGGTCGTATTTAGGGGTATCTTATGAAAGTGATTAAGCAAAAAAATCTCATGTGCATATTTTTCCAAACAAACCCTAGCTTTTCGCATTATCTATTTTATTTTGGTGTCGTTAAATATTTTCTGATTTTTTGTTTCCCAAAAGAGATTGATCTCTGTTCTATATGTTTTGAGTAGTTATTTTTTAGAACAGAAATCTTTTAGTTCTCTAGTTTTGTGGTATTCTGAAACTCATCCAAACTTGGCGCATACAGCAGCTACCAACGAAAAGTGTCTAGTTAGTAAATTCATCCTTTTGTTTACGTTGTCTTTTTGGCATTCCTCGCATTTTGTTACAGCTGTAACTTACGGAGAGATGCGAGCAACTAATTTACACGAACTTATATTTTAAGCTCCAAAAAACTACGCGGAAGATCTTCAAATGAATTTAAAGTCAAATATTATGTTTTTATGAGGGCACAACTATTGGTTATAATTGTAATGAAAATCACATTTTTAAATAAGTAATATTTGATGTCTCGATTTCCACTCTGGAAATCGTTCTCAAAAAAAGGTTTTTACGATTTTCGGAATGGAAATCGAAACGTCAAATATTAGTTAATTAAAAATGTGATTTTCATCACAGTCTCAATACTCCAGTCGTTAGAGACGAAAATTCCACTGCATAAAAATCATACGAACAATCTCAATGTTGCTAAAAATGTCAATTTTAGGACGCTAAAAACGATGCAAAAAAGTTTACCACTTTTACCCCAGGGCTTTCCCCTAAAACCCCCACAGAGAGGAAGAAAACACAATAAAATTGATTTACCAAGAATCTAGCTGAGATAATTTTGTACAAAAACGGTTATTAGCATTTTTTGCATAGAATGAACCATTCTCTCAGAAACAACGATTGAAGCTATGGGAAATTTTGACTGTCAGTTACGCGCGCGAAATCAATGCTCATTAAAATTTTTATCAGCTTGACAGTAAAAATTCAACATCTTTGGATTCAAATGTGCTATCGACAAAAATCAAGATGCGTTTTAAAGGTTAAGAGTGAAACTTTTGGTATGCATTGTTTTTAATTTTTTTAATTACACTATAACGTTTTTCAAAAGTATTTAACTTCTGCTATAAATTAACTCAAAACCGTCTTCTTGGAGACATTTTCTGTGAAGTGCGATCGTTTGTAGTGTAAAAGTTTAAATTCTGCGTTTTTAGTCATATTTCAAATGCCTCAATCAAAAATCAAAATCGAATTTTTATGTTATAGGTTTTGAAGACTAGACTTCAACAATGGACATTACGACCGATCAACGAAAGTAATAAATTTTATTGATCCCACGGGAATCGTAAAAATAGCAAAAATTGGGCAAAGTTTATTTATTGAATAGTTGTATAGAAACTGACTTCATTTGCGGCAAAATACAAAAGTTGCATACACAAGCTACACTCTTCACCTTTAAAACGCATTTTAATTTTTGTCGATAGGACACTCTGATCAAAAGATATCGACTTTTTACCGTAGAGTTAATACAACTTTTAGTGAACATTGATTTTGCGCGCGTAACTGGAATTCAAAATCGCCGGTAGCTTCAAGGGTTGTTTCTGAGACAACGGTGTGCTCTATGCAAAAATGTGTGTTTTTTGCGTTTTTACCCCTAACGAAGGGAGTTTTAGGGGAAGCCCTAAAATTCCCATTTTTAGGTTTTTTTTTTTAGATTTTGTAGGGTCTCAAAATTGATATTCTTGGCAAAACTCAGCTTGTTTGTATGATTTTTACTGGTCAAATATCTGACGACTGGACTACAACCAATAATTGTGAAAATCCAATAAAACATAATATTTAACTTAAACATGCCACAGGTAAGTAGTTTCAGAGAATTAAAAATACTTTAGAGATCAATGTATGAGCAAAACAGATGAAATAAGGGTTACATCAGATTATAAATGGCCACACATATGTTGTCAGTGGCCCTGATTTTTTCGACCTTTCCACACCACCTCTAAATATCGAACCTATTATGATGTTTGCGATTAATGAAAATTTTCGTTTGACTGTTCGCGAAGTAAAAAGCGACCGTTTACAGCAGAACATTCGTGTTGATTGATTTCTTCGATTGTGGAGGTTTTCTGCTCCAAGAACTCAGAAAAGCATCGACAAAAGAATTTTACGATACAGCGCTAACACATTAATCAAATCTGGTGACCAATTCAACCAAACTCCACCAGTCTCATTCTAGTGCCAAAATAATACACTGCATCTTTTTCGTGATTACAAAACTAAAATTTCAGCTTAAAGGGGTATGCTTCGACGGTACAGAAACGATTTAAACGAATGCAATGAGGAGACTGAAGACCATTAAAAAACTAAATTTCAGAACTGCTTCAGTTACAAGGAGAGCATGTTGCATTTTAGACTTTTGGAACAGACCTCTTACTTATTAAAAGAAAAATCTATAATATTGAATTATAATTGAGCAATTAAATTAATTTACAAAAAATAGATTTACTTACTTCTATAACTACTACAATTCCCTCTGCTCAGTCTTTCTTGATCGTCTTTGTCATCATCTCTGACATAACTCGAACTATCAGAGGCATCGTCCATGTATGAAATCGACAGTTCAGCAAATGGAACACTTAGTGAGGAGCAATCGCTCTGGCTAGGCCCATCCGGTCCTTCCATGTGACAGAACCATTCTGAGAGGCTTTCACCTTCCGCATGAATCGGCGATGGATGAGGTTTGATCATGTTGCGCATTTCGAGGAAGGGTGTTTGAAGACAACCAAACAATTTACGACTAAAAAATATTTATACTTTAGTAATATTTTAACATATTCAAAATATTGATTATTTTTTGTCAATTTATAATGTTCAATCACAAATTAAACAAAAAATTTCAGAACTTTTTCAATCCTATCAGATCATCATCAATTAAAAAGGTCTATATAGTATTTGGAACTAGCCCTATGATAAGATCAGATTACCCTTACAATACATAATTTTACTAAAAAACATTAAAATCAATATAAGATTAGGTCGACGATAAAGGATTAAATTTTTTAAGGAAACGTACAATTTCCCAGGTCGGAAAAGGGAACCTTATGCCCAGAGAGATAACAACCAACCCAGTGTCTTATTAATTGTAATGTTATTTACTGAAATTATGTAATTTAAGGGTCATCTGACCTCATCATGTGGCTAGTTCCAAATACTATATAGGCGTTTTTCCCTGATAATGGTCTGATAGGAACGAAAACGTTCTAAAAATTTGTAAATCCATTTTGGATAATTAAAAAAAAAATTAATAATAAAATTTTATACCATTTTACAAAAAGAAGTTTTTACTTCAATGTAAGTTTTTTTAAACTATGGTATACAGCCAACTACTGGGAATTTCCCTTTGAAATTACACCTCTTCAATTAAACCTGTTAATTTGTATATATATATATATATATATATATATATATATATATATATATATATATATATATATATATATATATTAATTATTACGAGGTTATTTAGCTACCGGAAAAACTAAAACAGTTGCTAAATACGTGGCAATAATTTTATAGGACGAATATTATATGTATGTAAGCACCTCGGCCCAAGGTACACGTTGTTTGACATTTTCAATAGTTGTTTTAAATTTTGGGCTTATAAATTGCGGTTGAACTCTTTTGAATTCTTAGTCGATTAGAATATTTACCTCAGACAAAAAGTTTGTTCGTTTTTAAGTTACGTTGAATGTACTTATTTTTAAGCTACCAATAAATGGTTTTCTCTACAACATTCGACTACTAGTCCAGTCGTCAGAGAGTTGACCCCTAAAGATCATCAAAACAAGCTGAATTTTGCCGAGAATATTAATTTTGTGACCTCAAAAAAGATGCAAAAAAGGTTAACCACATTTTAAACAAAAATTTTTATAATCACTTTTTGTGTAGAATGAATCGTTCTCTTAGATAAAAACGCTTGAAGCGACCGTCGATTTTGAATGTCAGTTACCCGCAGGAAATCAATGTTTCAAAATTCGATATCTTTTGATCAAAGTGTCCTATTGTCAAAAATCAAGGTGTGTTTTAAAGGTAAAGAGTGCAGAATTTGTATGCAGTTTTAGGTGTTAAATAAATACTTGTGGCGCGATTTTTGTCATTTTTTACGACTCTCGTGAGATCAGTAAAATTGATCACTTTCATTGACCAGTCGTAGTAAAGTTTCCATTTTAAGAGATCAATTTTTAAAACCTATGACACGAAATTTCCATTTTAAGTTGTGACAACAAATATGAGGCATTTAGAATATAAATAAAAAACGCAGAATTTAATGTTTAACGCAGAACTGTTCATTCTACACAAAAGTGCTAATAAACATTTTTATTTAAAATTATTTCAGCTATATTTTTTATTTGAACGGCGTACAGATTCTTATTAATCGAATTTCTTGAGTTTTACCCCCTTCGGGGTGGGTTTTAGGGGGAAGTCCGGGGGTAAAAGTGGTAAACTTTTTTTGTATATTTTAAGAGATTCCAAAATTAATATTTTTGGCAAAATTCAGCTTGTTCGTATGATTTTTAGGGGTCGAGTCGCATTTTCGTCTCTGACGAATGGAGTATTCGAATTACTTCATATCGTCGATCGAGAAGTTCGAACATAGAGCATTCCAATTTATACAAGTAGTGTTGGTAATAACATATATTTCTGTTTGGTCATGTCATACAGCTATGACTATAGAATCGTATTTTTTTTTTTTGGGTTGTTTAAACCATTCTTTGGTACGTCTGCTTTTTACATGTAACCTTTAATATAAAATATTTTTTATCTCGCTTGCACATTTATTTTATATTTTTTTGAAACCAAACTTATCTGAGGCTAATTTAAATTTGGTACATATCCTGGAATCATTCATAACGTTTCAAATAGAAATTTTCATGGCAGCTAAAGAAATATTTATTAAAATAAGAATTTTAACGGAGTCGCTAGTATCGCAAATTTACGACTTAAATATTTTTGAAATGTTAAAAGAAACACTTTCTACGGTTCATAGAACTATTCAGCTTCTCATAAAAAAAATAAATTTTAGGTTAAATATTATATATATATATATATATATATATATATATATATATATATATATATATATATATATATATATATATATATATGAAAATAAACCACAATTGAATGTAATAAAAATTACATTTTATCAAACCAAAGAACATACAGAAGAGATCAAAGAACTGAATTTATAAAATACCTTGTGAATGCAACAATTTTTATGTGGGAGAAACCTCAAAACCAGTAAGTGTTAGAATAAATGAGCATTAATCATATCATATATCAAAAATAGAGAATTTTACAGATTTGATAGATCCCAGATATGCAAATACGCCTGGAAGAATGAACGCTGAATACAATGGAAAGATTCATTAATAGTTATGAACGAAACAGACAGCAAAAAAAAATCAAATAAAATCAAAGAAATAGCCTTTATATTACTTGCGTAGCAAACTTATCAACATAATGTAGCATGCTCTCGTTGCCAATGCTGAAAAACAAGTCAGCAATAAGAATATATCAACATTAATGATTTAATAGAAGGTCAGAGACTCATCGCCTACAATTAACTACTTTACTTATAGATTTTTTTGTATTTCATCAATATTTGAATCTGGCCATGTCAATGAATTTCGTTGCATTAGTAACTTTGAATAAATTTTTAATTTATATGTAAATAAACAACCTTAGTTTTTAAACAGCTTTAAATATGGCTTGGGAAGAAATAATTTAACGTAATTAATTATTTTAATTATCTGCGTTATCGATTTAGATAAAATCAATGAAATAAATAAGTGACATTTAAGAAATCTAAGTAAATTGAAAGAAATGGTAAGTAACTAATAGTAAATGCAGAAATTTTATTATTGTTTGATGTACTTCGTCTGCCTATTTATTATGATTTCACCTCCATAATTTAGAACGTTCATCGTAAAAACTCAAAAATTAATCTATATTAATAAATATGGATCACCGAAATATTTGTAGGAGCAGTACTTCAGAGCGATTGCACCAAATTAAAAAGTTCTTTTTTTGTTGTTTGATCTTATCACGAGGTTTGTGTAGAAGAAAATTTTTTAAAAAAATTCTACGGAGGCATTAAAAACAAATTTATCTCTCTTTTTAAGCATATTAGGACATTACAGGACATTACAGGATAATATGAATAACAAAGAAAGCTATGATTAACAAAATAAATAGAGAGTTATTGAAGACATATTTTATGTCATTCTTTAATAAAAGCATCTTTATTTTGACATATATACATCTTTATTACTCTGCTTTAATACAGTAAAGGCTGCCTGTATTCAGATCATCAGGTTAGAATCTATGGAGAGGGCATCACGTGACTAAAAACGACCTCACTTTGGCCATGTTGGTAAGATTGTTTTGACACTTTTGACAGATCGTATATGTTTGTTTACATTTGTTGTTTTTCGAATATTTTTATTTTATAATACTTTTATAGAAACTGTAACAATATATTGTGATAGCGCATAATAATGGTTTCTTGTTCTCAACGTAGTTGCAGTAGCAGAAGAAATGTTAATATAAAATCTTCAGGAATATCGTTCCACAGGTTAGTATACAAATATGTAAACAAAGTAATGACACGTACTTCAAAGAATAAATTAATACGATTTGATTGTATTAATTTATCTTTATGTATAATATATCGTGTTTTAAGTGTTTACCGCGGGATAAATAAATAATAGTTTATTAAAAATGTATTGCACTTTTTTAGATTATGATTAAATGTCTCGACCTGAATAGTCTCGAACTGGTTTTTTATAGCGGCCTGTTTCCAGAAAGATCGAGTGGTAGTTGACCGCTTTCATATCGGAGGGGGACCCATAGTGTCAGGTAGGTTCTTTACTTGCGTCTTCGCCGTCCGGTGCGTGATCTAGAAAATACGTGATTAGTCATAATGTATTTACAGTTTTATACGCCATAATATTTATCATAACATGCCCCCCTCTTAAAAGATGGTTCCTCCTGGAATCTTGTCGGGACTGAAACTAGAACGGCATGCTGGTATCGGCAACTGGACCCTCTTTTACAACTTCCAGTTGTATAAAAATAACAAGGGACGGTTTTTTCTCCGCACCAGTAACTATGCGGATTGCAACAGACTAACACCTGGACTTCGGTGTCTTTAAAGATCTCCTCCACCATATTCCGGATAACCCTCCAATCTAATTGGCGGCACATCAACTTTGGCATGGCTAACCTTTGTACGTCGGGCTCTAGTACGTGCTCTCTCAATTGAAGTAAGGCTTCCCATACATCTCGGTAGGTAGATTGGTCAAGGGCAGTGTCTTTTGTTACCAGGTAGAAAAGGTAACATGATGCATCTTGGAGTTTCAAGGTTTTACCGGGAGCTGGCACTTGGCATTGAAGTTCTGCAACTCGACCGAACTCCCTTCGAAAGACGGATGCCAACCCTGGTGCGTCTTTGATACCGGCCGGGATGGTAAGGGCCAGTGAGTAGTCATCGGGAAGCGCGAGTAGATCTTGCTTTTCTTCAGTGGTAACACCATGTCTTGCTTTACCATAGACACCCATGAATTCCTCAAACGTGAGGTCAGACACATCTTGGACTTGGTTTACTTCCACTTCTTCAACGTCGTGGTCACCTTCGAAAGACGCCAGCCAGTTATGGTGTACTATCATCGGGTTTCCCCTCGGAATCTTGCTTATTCGGTAAATGACATCATTGATCTTCTTTATAATGAGGTA